TATGTATGTTTCAGACTTCCAGAGTAATCACATGTTGCTCCTTTTGGCCCCTAAAACTCGATTCATAATAAAAAAAAAGACAGGCTGCAGCCAATTTTCTGTACAGTCCATAATTTTTGAAGGTGTTAATTTTTACCTTGTTTTTCTCTATATAAAAGTAGGCAGGGTCAAATGAGGTAGCAGCCAAGACCGATTCAGGCCGCAGTTTAGAAGCTCTGCACTCACGAGTTGCAGTCATTAGCCATAACTGTGATAAATGCTGTTGTTAAAGAGTCAACCCATAATTCTCACTGATCTGAGGAGCATACATTTAAAGAAGACGTGAGATTATAGCGGCGGTCATGGCAGATGGCTGCAGCGGGCTGCATCAATAGCACAGATCTGGATTTCACTTGAACCCGAACTCATACTCCACGTGACGAAGTCTAAACCAAACCCCGACCCAAACTCAAACTAAATACTTCCAAAATACAACCACTTCAAACTGTTCATTCTTCAATCCTTACAGTATGAAAGAAAGCAGAATCAGTCATGACGTTTGTGGTCTGCTCCTCAGAGCGCGCTTTATTTTTACTAGTGCAGAAATCCAGACTATTTTTGTGGCAAATCCTTAAGGGTGCAAAGAGGGATAAAAAGTTGAATCCAAGGATTTCTATTTAAAATACCCTATCTAAACCTAGGGCATACCATTTTTGCAAACATATGTTCAGACAGCAGGCTAAGCCTCGAAGGAATTTAATAATCATGTTTTCCTACCGAGATATTGCAAATATACAGTAGAAATACCCAGAAACACTCATGATTGTAACACAATTTGTTTTTCCTGTTATGTCATTTTGGTATTTGCAGATTCTAGTATTTATAGTATAGTCACAAATACTTTTTTTATACAAAGCTTTAGCTTCTCTGGTGTCTCTTAAACTGCACATTAGCTTGCTAAAGGCTAAAGAGAGTGGAAACGGTAATGGGCAGCCGACAAATACAGATAATATCGGTTGGTCGATATTATGGGACATCCATACTTAAGATTTTATGTTGCAGGTCTTCTACAATTTTGTCCAAAAACAACAAGAAGGCCACATATGATGTCAGTATGAGCTACCTGTGCGTTAGCTTCTCTGTCCCTTACGCAGGTGTGTCATTATGTTTGTTGGCGAAGTGTGCTAAACACATTAGCCATTTATTTGTCAATAATGCAGTGCCATAACTTATGTAAGTCAAAATAGCCTAAAAAAATAAAACGTGCCAGTTTAGGTGTGGCTGTTTTGATGTTTCAAGCTGTACTTGATTGGGTTTTAAAAACTAAAATGCGAACTTTTACCCACGCCTGTATATGCTAACAAACGATGCTAATGGAGAGAAGGCAAAAACAACAAGTGTTAGCCTACAAAACGTTTTGTCCTGAGGAGCATATACAACTGAAAACAAAGTTCAGGCTGATAGCACAACCACACGAAACTGCAGCACAAAAGATCCATTCATCGATTTGTTACTGTATCAGCCTCAGTCCCTTATGCAATCACTTTTTCCACCAGTAGGCAGAACGAAACAAAACCAGAGTAGATTAATTGGGTTGGAGTTTGGGAAAAGTCGCGGTGGCAGGCTTTGAGTTCCAGTTATCAAAGCAATAGGAAAAGACCTGTTGATGTTTACAACTGCGGAGAAACAAACGTGTTCCCGGTATGAATGCCTGACTTAGCGCCTACAATAGTCATCCAACGCTTTTGGCCTTCACTGCTACCTTTGAGCTGTTCACGACTGTATACTGTGGTTCAGGTCAGAAACTTCTGGAACTGGGATTTTTTTTTTTTTTTTTTTGGCCGGTCCCATTGGTAAAGCCTCCCAGAAGAATATTCTTTAATTTCCCTTGCGTTCTTGACAGCAGGGATTTGGAGACCAAGCTCACCACCACTTCTAATAGCACTCCGTCAGGTGGACACGTGACTTGGACTGTATTCCAGTTCAAAAGTGGTCCAGATGATTTATCCCGCATTTCCCCGGCGTCATCACCCTTTCATAAAACTGTGTAACTTTCGAGTTTCTGAATTTCACCACCTCCCTACAGCTGGTGGCGCTGACTACATGATCTATTGCAGTACAATTTGTCACCGTTCGAGGTGTAAACGTTTTCTGAAGCCTTACGTCATATCTGCGCCGCCGCCAACTTTTTTTGCTTTGTACCCATGATGCGAAAGACAGAACACTTAATTCCATATCGATACTTGTACCAAGTGTGGATGTGAGGGGTTCAGTGGGAGTTCAGGAAATTGCTGCCAAGGGAAAAACATGACTTCATAATATCTCCATAATGGGAATATATTCTGAAAAATGTTTTTTTTTTTTACAGACATCAATGAGTGTCTGCTGCCTGGCATCTGTAAGAATGCCTTATGTTTCAACACCAAAGGAAGTTACCGGTGTACGTGTAAACCTGGCTTCATGTTGGACGCTGCTCGGAGTCACTGTGTCTGTAGGTATCCCACTGACCAAGTCAAACTCACAAAGTGGTGTTTTATTCACAAAAAAAAAAAAAAAATGTCTAACTGATTGTGTTTACTCTCTCGTTAGCGGACAAAGCTGTGTCTAACCAGAAGGGAATGTGCTATCGATCGGTATCAGCTGACACTTGTTACTTGCCTCTGGTGCAACACATCACCAGGCAGATCTGCTGCTGCAGCCGCGTTGGCAAGGCCTGGGGGGAGTCATGTGATCGTTGCCCTCTGCCTGAATCAGGTACATTTACAACCAAAAGTGTTTTTCTGTTTCAGCTGTTTGTGCTGTAACTTTCTTTACACATGAGAAAAACCTAATGTTGACGCTAATAAAAGACCGGAAAGAAACGTTTATCAAAATATTTCCAGCTGTCAGCGATCGCAAACACGTTCAAAGAGATCTGTGTGATGAAGACATAACTGTCAGAGGAAATAAATAGAGAATTGATAAATTATAAATATTTGAGGAATAAAACAAGTAGATATGTTTTACATGTGTCTCAGTATCGGAAACAAAACATGAAATAGAGAGAAAAACAAAAAACATTTCTCCTGGTGATCAAACAAATAAACTGTGAAGTGATGAAAGTGACAGGATACAGTTGTTTAAGATGATGTGGAGTGTTTTTAATCATATTATTGAAAAATATTTTTATCACTATTTTTTTTTTCATCAATTGCTAGACATTTCAGGCGACCCCATTTGAAGTCCCTCTAGACATTTAAGGCGACCCCATTTGAAGTCCCGGTGACCCCATGTGGGGTCCTGACCCCGAGGTTGAAAAACACTGCTGTAAGAGAAGAGAACTAGCTATGTCAATGTGAGCCATGTTAAAAGCTACGCCAAAATAACAAACAGGCTAATCATTTCAAGCTAAAATATTAGCTTTAAAGTGTTAGCTTGTTAAAAAAAACATTTTAAGGAGTATTTTCTCTCTATCAAACAGTTGGTTATACCTAAAAAGAATTATTTTACTTAAGTGTAAACTGTTTTGCATGGCATCGTGAGCTACTATTTCATTTCAGCCTTTTCTTTGCCGGTCATGTCAACGATCATAACAACCAAAAGTTTTCACTCTGGAAAACGACCAAAACCATAAGTTTTCATACTTTAGAGGCTACATAATACCGCGAGTCAGTCCTGTGTTATCACTCCAGCTTCTACAGAGAAAACCCCACCAATAGATCGGCAAAACTTCACAGCAAAATTAAAATAGATTCGCCCAGTGAAACCCGGGAAGTAGTTGACTTTTTTTTTTTTTTCCCCCTTGTGGATACCCAGTGAAACCCGGGAAGTAGTTGACTCCCCACCCTCCTCCCCTTGTGGATCTAATCTTCAAAGTGTCGGAGTGAAACTGGTCCGGTGTCTGTGCTGACCCATGATTCACGAAGATCGTCGGAGATCAGATATCACAGACACACAGACCTCCATGGAGCTGCTCGCTCTGGACTGACACAGTGCACAGATAGTCCGGTCCGATTGTTTCAGACTTCAGCCTTTGTGAAGCCCTGACAAGCACTTAGATCCATGTTCAGAAATGTCTTTGTCAGTGTGTAACAGGAGCCACTGACTCGGAGTTCATGTTCACTTCTTCAGCCCCGTGTTTCTCCACTTCAGATTCATCCTTCAGTAGTTTATCATATCCCCACTTCCCTGCATTTACACAAGCATTTTCAGCAACCGCATGTCTGTTATTACTCATATCTGTATTCCAGACTCTTTTGGCGTAGATTTGCTGGTTTCAGGTCAGGTAGGGGACACAGTGCTTCTGGCTTGTAATGGATTCACCATCGCTGAGGTTTTTGTTCAGCTGACACAAAGGATGCCGTCTGAGGCTGCTGTACCAACCAGCCGCTCCGCCAGTCATTTGTCCTCCGGCTTAAAGGCCGACAAGCTCGGAGGTCAAGCAGGGCTTGTACTTCCCTCAAAGTCATGGTTGGGCCTGGAGGTGGTCCAACGTCTTAAACCGTCTCCCTGGTAGCCCTCAGTGATGCCTGTCACTGGCTCGCCAGCTCATAATTCTGTTGGGTTGGCCGAAACATGACACCCCTCCATTCAAAGCACACAGCATGCTCAGCATAACATCATTACACGGATGGCTTAAGGTGATGCTGTGAACATCAAACCAAAATATGAGCCACAATTGTCCTCTGGCAGCTTTTGGGAGTGCACATTTCAGAGGCAATGTTTTTAATGGCTCCTTGTCTGTTGATGTGTCTCCTTCCCCGCAGACCATTTCAAGGAGATCTGCCCTGCTGGTCATGGATATACCTACTCCCTCTCTGATGTGCAGATTTCCTTGAGACAGCTGGAACACGACGAGCTTCAGAGCACAGGAGTAACATGGGAAGACTATCTCTCCACTCATCTCCAGCCACCGTCCTCGCAGCCTTCACTGCAGGTTCCCGGCAGACCTCAGTCCCCGGTCTATCCAGAGGTACCACAGGTTCCCCAGTACCCTGAGTACCCAGAAACACCCTACGTACCCCATCAGCCCCAGACTCCACACAGACCTCAACCACCCTTCCAGCCAGACTGGGACACACCTAAAGAGCCAGGTGAGGAAAAAAATACAGTATAATTTTATGTGAAAAAGATATTTTTTTCACATTCAGAAACTTGCTGTTCACCTAAAAAGGATGCAGGTAATTTAGGTGGTCGCGTTGGGAAACAAAACAACAACCTGCTGCACTCAGGCGTTAGAAGGTTGAGGGCACAGGAACCTATTTTCATTTAGTACCTCACTCCAGTCACCAAGCACTTTTATTTTGAAAGTTGTTGAACTAGAGTGAGAATCAGTGACTGAATGCAGAAATATTTCAGAGTTTCACCAGAAGGTGCTTCTCTAACTGCCGGAAAATGACTTGCAAAGGAGAGAAAACAAAGACAGAGGGCATCATCCTTACACATGAGCACACACTAAGTACTCTTTCGAAAAACAAAAGATTTTCAGCTTGTATGATTTTGCGCAGTATATGCAATGAATCCATTCCACAACGGCACTCGTTTCTCCATCCTGTCGTATCAAGATCAAATTTTCCCCATTATAAATAACTTACAACCAATTAATTTGTTCCAGCCCCACAGAAATATACTATTACCCCCCCATCTAAACATCAAGAACATANNTATATATACATATATATGTATATATACATATATATGTATATATATATGTATGTATATATGTATATATATTTATGTGTATATATGTATATATATTTATTTTTTTTATTATTTATTTTATTATATTTTATTAAACTTTTAAAGTTCGTGACAAATTCCGCAGCTGCTTTGGCATCAGAGCTGGTGGCTTCTCCATGTCGTACGACTTAATGGATGCCAGTCCTCGGTTGAGCACTCGTGACTAGATATTTCCTCGTATCACAAACTAAATCTAAAGACTCGTAACATGACATGGAATGCTCGTATTTCGGGATGCTGGTATCTCGAGGGTCCACTGTAGTTGCAGATGGTTTCATTGGTACAGCTGTGATATAAATTTATATAAATATACAGAGATGATCAGATCTATCTGTGGACTCATTTCTCCTTGGTTTGTTCTTCGTCCAGCAGCCAGTGCTTTTATTTTGAAGGACGTTTTTTTGTGTATACTGCTCTGACTGAATGGTTCTTGTGACTGTGGACATTATGCTCTCTTTGCTTCTTTGTAAACATTTCTGCTATTCTCTCTCTGTTTGGCAGATGTGGAGACTCTGAGCCGAGTAAGTTCCTCCTCCCTCGTCTCCTCTTCTTCTCTCTGTTTTTACAGTGTGTATATTAAACCAATATCCTGCTGCTATTTCAGTCTTTTTAGACTTCAATTTGTTCAATTATTCACACGTATTTCTAAATGCACAAAGGTTAAATAATTGTTTTTCTTAAAGGATTACATTTTTATTTCATCTCTTTTAGCCGTCTGTTGTGACCGATTCACCTGTGGATTATCCAGGTATTATTTCTCTCAGCTTTACACACACACATACACACCCAGATCACCTTCTTCTTTACCTCTGACAGGCACACTAACCTGGCCATGTAATGCCACTGCTGGTTTTATTTTGCATGTCTGTGCTCGGGGCCAGCAGCACAGTTTCACTCAGGCACAGACCTGCGCTGTGTTATTTATGAACCGCTAACTCTCGCACAGAAGTGGCAGTTTGTGTTCCTGTCTGCTCTGCCCTCACGCCAGTGAAAACATTGACATTGAAGTCTGCCGTTGCCTAAATTTTAATTTATTTTGGTCATTGTACCATTTTTAGCCCCCCAAGAAAGAAGTAGATCATTTGAATCTCGCTGCCCACTGAGAGACATGTCAAGCATCTGCGTCTGGGAAAACAAGCCGTAAATCCTGCCGTTCTTGGGAGAATGATAATTTATTCTCCGAGACGGTGTTAGTGGTTTTTGGCTCCGTCACTCACACGCTACCTTGATCTCTTTCTGCAGGAACTTCTCCTCCAGACTCCTCCGTCAGCAACCTGAGTCCGGATACGAAGGACACAACACAAACACACTCCTCCACAGGTAAAACACAACAATCTTAGTTGTTGGTTTGTTGTTGAACATCTGAGACTGGGGCAACTACCTTCGATGGAAGAAAATGAAAAAGATAAAAAATAAGAGCTATAGAAAACGAAATGTCAATTGATTTCCTAAATTTTTTTTTTTTTATTAATTTTATGCAGTGGAAGAATGTTATATTCTACACTTGTTCATCTTTTTGTTGTTGTTCTAACACACAGTGGTTGTTATTTGCGCACACTGCTGGGAAACTTTTCTGTTTCACCAAAGCACCTCAAGCTTAAAATACTTAAAATCTTTGTCTTTGTGGTGTTTATTGAGATTTCAACTTTCAAGGTTGGTGAATCAGTGAGTCCAGCCGCACTAGTCTATTCTACTCTATTCAGTTCTATTCTGTTCTATTCTATTCTTCTCTTATTTATTTTTATTCTGTTCTATTCGATTTGATTTGCGCCAAGAACAGGATGGTAGTTTCCTCCAGGACCGGAACTACTGTAATGGAGGAGCTACACCAGGGTTCCACCAAATCAGACGTGACTTGTGTGAATGGCTGATTGTTGAGTGAATGTGATGGGACACACTGCCTTCCAAACCCACTGATTTTTTCACAGCGGTGAATTCGCACGGATATCGCCCTTTTCTCTGAGCTCATAAATTCCACGCGTGGTTAAACAAAGTTGCATGAAAACAAGAGCTCACCTTTAACTTCCCCATTGTTTTGACAGACCTTCCCAAAAACATAAACCGAAAATGTGCTGTTGGCCCATACGAGAGGAAATGTAGAGTGGTTGCTGCTGCTGCTGCTGCTGCTGCTGCACAGCAGAGAGCAGAAGATTGAGCGAGCGATTCAACTGTTGCGTAGTCAGTGATTGGTTCACACGACCCCTGAGTGATGGTTAGACACTCGCTTCCAGCAGGTTTTTTCGAGAGTGACGCCAGATTGTGGAGTGGATAAAAACATGTGCGGAGGAGCAGTAAAATGTTAGCAATGTTAGGAATAAAACAAAGCAAAACTAATTCTGGTTCCAGAAACAGGGATTATGAGGAATACAAATAGTTCAGCCATGTTTCAGTTTAGTGAAGGGAACAAAACGCTCCTTGTTCAAGCCCCGAACAATTCCTTTGAAGAAAATCTGATAGTCCAGTGGTTTGGGACATCCACACATGTGACAGTGCTCTTCATCAGTTGCCTCCATGTTCTGCAGAGGAACAGTCCGTACGCTGTCAGTTAAATAAAGCCGTGCCAGATCCGTCTAAAGTCTGTAGCAGCACGCTATGTGCAGCTGCAACTTGTCTCTCCAGCCACGGTGACATTCTATCTAATCCAGCACGCGGGCTTCCAGGAAAATTTTCGTTAGTGGTAACAAATCCCAAGATCCCATACACAAAAGTATTTCAATTAGCAGACGGTTCATCGTCCAAGACCTTAGAAACCTACAGTATGATCTGTAATGACTTGTATCATGTGTTTCGCCCTCTGCTCTATATTATTCTGTCAGCAGGGAAACCCAACTCTTCCAGCTCATTTTCTCTTAGTCAAATGAAGACTTTCTATTTTCTCATTGACATCTTGCACCACAGGGCAAACCATGACCTTGTTTAAAAGATTGCACACAATACATTCATTATTCTACAAATAAATATTCTGTCCATGCAAAAACAAAGTTAAAGTTGTAAATCTTCGTCCTTTAAAAGCGCTCCAATAAATCTAGAATGCAAACATAGCTGCTCGACGGCCCCGTGCCCCTCTGCCTGTATTGGCAGTAAGTCTTGCGTTTAAGCAGAGAGAAAAATTTAAAATAACAGATGAAAACAAGGTGGTTACATTGGACCAGTTTCTAAAATCACCAGGTGGTACGAAACTGAGTGAAGAGTCAAGCAAAGAAACAGCACGGAGCAGGAGGCTCGCCTGTTTGGTAGGCCCTCTGTATGTTTCATGTAGCATTTCTTTACAAGTTGATCCAGAGGTTAGTTGAGGAGAGCTGGTATTTTTGACCCCTTTTGTCAATGCCAAGTCGGCTTAAAGACGCAGCACGACACAGAGGGTAAAGGGAAGCTTCCCTGGGTGGAGGCAGGCCAGAATTTTGAGTAATGCAGGACAGAGGAAAAGATGGAGGGAATGTGAGAGTGAGAGTGAAAAGTGAAGAGTGAGAGATAGCGGTAAAAATGCTGAAATCAGTAAACTGTTGGAGGAAGACTACGAGGACTTGTGGTGGGGTTTTTTCTCCAGACAAGTCAAATGATATTTGTTAAACTAATTCAGTCATGAACGTCTGCAGCACGATTCAAAAAGTTAATCAGTTTCTGCCTCTTCTTCTCCTTCACTCATCTATGAACCATACTTTTTAATCATTTAGAAAACAACAAAACCATTGGTGTCACGTTGCACTATTTGGTCCATAAATTAGTGCTGGTACAAGAAATTGATGGAAAGCTTCCTCCTGGCGTGACAAAGTGTCATTGAGCATTTTTGGATGCAGTGCTTGACTGTGTGACGTGGCCACATCGTCTCTGTGAAATATTGTCATGCAACCCAGACATCCAGACCTCCAGACATTCAGCAGCAGTTTCCAGTTATCTTGACTTCCTAAATCACTCTGGAATATTTGTATTCTGTAGAAGATTACCGTCCTAAAGTCGTCACTCTGTCGCACTGAGAAACAACACAAAGTAGAAGCCATGGCCTCTCCATGTTTGAGGAAAACAAAACCCCCTGAGTAAATATACCATTAATGCCTCAGTTGCCCTGATCGTTTAGAAAACTGAGATTAGTTACTTCATTTACAAAAGTCAGATTTGACATTGGTTATTTGCGAGATGCTTTTATTAAATCTTTCTTCCTCCACGTGACAAAATGAAAGGGTAGAGTTTTTACGTAATTGTTGCAGGTTCAGTTACTTTTTTTTGGTTTGTGGTTTAGTCCATTTGAACGAAAATATACAAGAACACCAGTAAAGTCAGGCCGTATGGTGGCCTGACCTGTTGACCCTGTAACCAACGCTTCACACCACCTCTTAGCACGCTGCAGGGCTGTTAAAGTCCGCCGTCATGTCCAGGAACTCACCAGTAAAATGACAAGATGGGTTCTAATGTGGAACAACATGTGTCGCTGGAATGTACGTGTTCAGTGTTTACGATGTCCGTAGTGTCACGTAACCTTAACGAGAGTCTGTTTTCTCCTACGACTGAACGGTGATACTGTACCTCTGTGCTTTCACGCTCAGGTCACGACACGTGTGCTAGCGCGCCAACCATTTGTGGACGTGGGAAATGTGTCCCAGTGCAGACGGGCTACACCTGCCACTGTGAGCCAGGATTCAAACTCAGCGCTCTGCAGACCAACTGCATCGGTAGGTAACGGGAGTTGGAGGTGATACAGACGTAGCGGTTGGACAGTCAGTGAGGAGGGAGGGCTCGGCAGCTCCGTCTATCATCATCTCAGTTCAAGCAGTTCTTCATCACCAAGCATTACACAGAAGCTTAGTGAAATGAAGCAGGCCAAGCTGAAAGTGATCCGTTTGTTTACGTTGACCAGTTTCTCGATGCCTGACAACAGCGTAAACACCGTCCAAAAAGCTGCCACGGTGCTCTGAGTCCTTCCCTCGCACATAAAGGGTTTGGCTTGAACCTCCGTTCCAAACATCTGGGCTCAGACCCATTATTAAGGAATGCCTGTAGGGAAGTGCTTGGAAAACCAGCGTTGTCCATTTTCATCTGCTCTGCTTGTCTTTCTTTACCCACTCTCTCTCTCTGTCTCTCTCCCTCTCTCTCTCTCTCTCTCTCTCTTCACAGATGTGAATGAATGTGACGAAGATCCATGCGAAGGGAAGGGTCGCTGCCTCAACAGCTACGGCTCCTACACCTGTCAGTGCCACAGCGGCTACAGCCAGGTGATCACCCAAAACAGGAAGTTCTGTCAAGGTGAGTCGCTGCTCAGGTAAAAGCTAATAGATATCAAGTTTCCCACGGAGAAAAAGCCACCGGCGGCTGCACTTTGCTCTTTCGCTCCATGTCCAAGCGCCGTACACTCTCGTCTGTCAGCGCTACACTGTTAAAGTATATCCTTTCCTAATTAATGCTGCGGGACACAATGGTCACTTTCTTTTCTCTTCTCCTTGGTTTTCATACAAACTGGCAGACGTTAATGAATGCAGCTTGCCCGGCAAGTGCCAGAACGGCAAATGTGTCAACACAGAAGGATCCTACACCTGTGAATGCAACACCGGCTTTGCCAGGTCTTGGAGAGGCGTATGCGAAGGTGACATGCAATCAGTACACCAGCTCCTGAGAACAGTCCAGCTCATACAGCACGGTCTCAGCCAGAACGATCTGTTCACTGCCATGACCTCATACACAGCCCAGTCACATGATCTATGTAGTGTATGTCTCATTTGTCACACAGCAAATGGTTGGTATTCAGACTTGGTCAGCATATACATTACAGTACCTTGTCTACACCACTAAAATCTTTATGCTGTGTTTTTCAACCTTGGGGTTGGGACCTAAAATTTCTAGTAATTTATAAAAATAATTACTGATAAAATAATAACAATCCTAAACAATCTTTCACTTGAATATAAATCGAGTTTAAATTAGACAGCATATAACAGTGTCTGAGCTGGCACATCTTGATTGGCCACTGTGATCATGTGACTGACAGAAATTTGTACTGTGAAAATGGGGTCACATGCCAAAAGAGTTTGGGAACCACTGCCCACAGATTGTTCCAAACTTTCACTGGTCTGGATGAATTAGTCAGCGTCTCAAACAAATCTGTGGTAGAAACTCTCCGGTCCCTGATGTTTGACAGACACGTTCACAACAGTTCTCCCTGTTGACAAACAATATCATTTCATTCCCATGCAGACGTCTCTATAAACAGTCTTGAACCGCGCTGCTTAATGGCTTGCAGTGGTGATTTATAACCAGTCCTCAGATTTGGTGAAAACATTTTCACAAGATCAAGTAGCACATTTTGAGTCACCAGTGGCTCAGTGTTCAAGCTCTGAAACTCAGACGAAGACATAACCAGTGGCTCAGTGTTCAAGCTCTGAATCTCAGACGAAAATATAAGCTTCTGCATCATTGGGAGATTCACTAACGCCACCTGTTGGCACTGTTTTTTGCTCGTAATCTAGATGTGACATCAGTGACAAAACAGTAAAAATTAAATACACAGAGAACTCCCTGTAGACAATACTGGGCTAGAGTGCTTTTTCTGACATTATTTTTTTATTTTTTATTTTTTTTTGTCATGTTATTCTTTGGTTCATGATTAATTTATATATGTTACCTGTAATGCCCTAAAAAAGCTTTAAGCAGCACTATTAGCATGTTATTCTTTGGTTCATGATTAATTGATATATGTTAACTGTAATGCCCCAATGCAGCACTGTTTAGATACCATTAGATAATAGCTCGGGCTAACAAAGCTAACTGTTTTAGGGAGGCTCTACTGATGTTAAAAGATTATCTTAAATTACATTTTCACACATTCAGGTTAAAAAAAAGGACAAAAACAAATTGTAACAAAAACATAAATAGTAATTGCTAAATGAACTCTTCTTTCATTTCCTGTCCCACCTTCACCCTGAACAGACGTAGACGAGTGCAGAGATCCCGGCTCTTGTCCCACCGGTGCCTGTGTTAACACTCTCGGGTCCTTCCAGTGCCAGGCGTGCGGCCCAGGCTTCCGGGCTGTGGGCGACAGATGTGTCGGTAAGTGGACCACACGGCCGTCACAGCAGAATCAGAACCCACAAGAATAAAAGTCCAGTGGGATTCACCGTGTGAAAAAATGCTGTTAAAGCTAACGTGGACTTGTTAATGCGGGACATTAAAGCTCCAGGTGAGGTGAACTGGTTCACTCATCCAACAAATACACATATTTTATCAATTTTGAACTTAAAAGTGCCAAGGTCTCTCACCGTGACCGTGGACACTAAAATCGCTCCTCACGCCCACTCTTTTTTCCATGGTACAATATATCAGCTTCTCCACCCAACAGCCTCTGAATTTCCCTAATATTGTTTAAACACATTTACTGTGTTATTCCCGATCCTTCCATATCTCTGGCCCCCGTAAAAAGACTGTTTATAATACTTCAATTTGGGAGAGTCCAAATATTTTCACTTGGTTACAGCCTTAAACAAACAGCGTATTATTGTTAGAGCGCTCTGGCCATCTCACTCTCGGGTCCAGCGGAGGCCAGCGGGGCTTTACAACCACTGCTGAAGTAGACAAGAGGATCGAGCCGTTGTGGGAGGTGAAAGGTCAGATATCTAGTTTTAAATGTCTCAAAGTGTAAATAAATTCCACTGCTCACCCAGTGTGTCGTCACGGTTTACTGTACGTCTCCTGGTGCGGATTATTACAACCAAATGAACAAACCGCCAACGACGTACTCTTGGTGTTTGTTGCTTTTTCAGCTAACAGTGCAGCAGCACTCTGTGCCCCTGTTACATAACGGCCTGCATGGTCTTACATACCACATCCCCTCTTAAGACCCTGCACCCCACTAATTTGTTTAGAAACCAAATCTACTGGAGGGAAGAATCCAGAATGTGGAACTCTAAAAGACCAATTCAGAAACGTAAAAATACAAGGAAAAAAAATGATAATTATCAGCCATACGTTGTGTGAATCTGACGACCGATGCCTTCATTTAGACCTTCACGATTCCCTCTCTCCAAAGAAAAACATCATTTCAGCTCCGTTCTGTTTGTTGTCAGTTTCTGCCTGAACTTGAAGTCAACCTTTAAATGAGGTGTAACACTGGAGGTAAATATTTTTACTCCGAACAATCACCTAGGCCAGATCTTAGCAGTGCATGTGTGGCACTGTGGGAGCCACAGACGTGCAGTAAGCTCTGGGTTTGGAGTATTTTCTATGGTCAATTGCGGGTAGCTCACTAGTTTCTTCCTAATTGGCCAAATCGGCTAAGCCTCGTAGCTGGTGTGATAGAGAAAACAGCTCCATTCCTCTGTCAAGGCTTATCATGGATGCTCGAGAGATTCCGGGGGGATTCCAGAAAGAAAGTGCTGGGCCAGGGTGACAGATGTCTGGCAGTGCCCGGTGGCGGGCAAACAAAGCCTAGTATGCGATGAGCTCACGATGTTTTCACTGTGCAAATTCTGCGTCTATCACCTCTGGACAGTGTCCTCCATCGCTCGCTCTCTCTTTCCGTCGCAGTTTTTAGACAAATACTGAACTTTTCCTTCCTCTCATCCATTTTCCTTCCTTTTCTCACACGTCGGAGTCCAGCTGCATTTTCTCTTTGCATCATCATCAAACCTGAAAACACTGTCATTCTTAACACTTGGTAATTTCCACTATAAAACATTATTTGTGCATGAGGTTTTCCACATAATCTCTTGGTCAACTTTTCTGACTCACGAAGTGGAAAAGACAGCCACTGCCACAAACTGTAAAAAAAAAAACCTTCATGAATGAGGGTTTTTGGGTCTGTGCACTGACGTCATTTAATGGTGGCTGCAGTTGGACCCTAATTACACTGTGATTGTTTTCCCTTTACTGCTGCATCATGACCACGCAGTGTTTACTTTGTTTACAGGTTTTTACTTTTATGCTGTTTACTGACGCAGTGGCTTAAAATTCCCCACTAGGATTTTTTAACCTATGGTTCAGAAATGACCCATAAATGATAATTACACCACTCACCATATCCACTAGGATTTTTTAACCTATGGTTCATAAATGACCCATAAATGATGTGTTGGTTTAATTGAATTACACCACTCACCATAGTGAGTCAACATTAAAGAGTATTTTGTCATCACTTCACATTCAGTACTGTAGAGGTGCCTTTTACCCAATAAGCTCAAATAGATCCATTGTGACGTCTGAATGGCAGATGGGTTCAGAGTAGGGTGAAGTTAAATTAAATTGAAAGGATCAGATTTAAAGCCTTTACTTGGTCATATTTGTAACAGACAGTTTGAAAGATGACGTTGATGTGAAGGTGATAAGTTAAAATTCCCAGGTTGAACCATGGAAGGCACAGTACAAAATGGTGAAACCAAACTCCAGGCCAGGCCACGAAAGTTGAAATACCGGTGCAGCCACGGTGAAACTTGCTTTAAGTTGGATTTGGAGGAACTGGTGTTGTCTCAGAGATGAGGTGTTTATGTCGAGGTTAAAATGCTGGAGATTTAAAAACTTCAATTGAGACGACTAAGGTTGAACAATTTAGACATAAGAAAAACCAGTGGTTCCCAAAGTGGGGGGCAAGTCCTTTAAGGGGACGGAGTTATTGCTGTCATTACTTTTTTAATTGGGCCACAGTGAAATTTCTCTTCAACGAGTGACACTTTTTGGAGGAATTACAAAAACAAAAAGTTTGAATAACTTGGACTGTATTGAGGAAGCAATATTTTTAGGTGCCAAAAAAAGAGGAAGACTCACAGACGAAGGACAGTGAGGATCAGTGAGGGACAGGGTGTGAAAAGAGAAATGGATATTTGGCAGCAGTCACTACTGAAAGAAGCACCAGAAAAACAGAGAACTGAATCTGAGATACTGGCGTCAAATAAATGTTTTTATTTCTGTTGTTTCCAGATGTAAATGAGTGCTTGAACCATACAGTGTGTGGCAGTGGGAGGTGTGTCAACACCGAGGGCTCCTATAGGTGCAACTGCTTCCATGGCTACGAACTCTCTGGGAACATATGTCATGGTAAGTCTCGTAATCTGGAAGGTCAGTCAAACACTGTTATTGACTCGTATGGAAAAAAGTAACAGCTCTGTGAATGGTTTTACCTGCAACGCTGAAAGTTTTAAAAAAAAAGAAAGTGAAAGCAACGAGTTAGTCATTGTTCATTCCTGTCTGTCCGCCCTCCAGATGTGGATGAGTGTGCGCTCCCGGGAGTCTGTCTGCACGGCCGCTGTGTTAATCTGGATGGCACCCACCAGTGCATCTGTGACACCGGTTACCGAGTCACTCCAGACAGCAGGACTTGTGAAGGTCTGCAAAATATTATCTGGAGATTTTTCTGTATAAGTCGTCACACCGCCACCTGCTGCTCATCCTGCTGTTATGACAGAAGAGTAATGTCTACAAATCATTTATTCTCCTCAGATGTGGATGAGTGTGCTGCCGGTAATGCCTGCCATTCGGGAATCTGCATCAACAACCCAGGTTCTTACACTTGCCAGGACTGCAGGCAGGGATTTAAACCATCTGCTGATGGACTTCAGTGTGAAGGCGCGTTGTTTTCTGCTTCGGTTTTTTATTTATTATTCCATAAAAATGTCCATTTATGTTTGCTCATTTTTGTTCTTGCTGTTTTTTTCAGACGTGAATGAGTGTGTTCAAGGTGACCTGTGTCAAGGCGGGGTGTGTGTCAACACACACGGATCTTACACCTGCACCAGGTGTAAGGCGGGCTACAGGTTGTCCCAGGACTGGCAGAGATGTGAAGGTAGAAGTTGTCATTCCTCCGGGGTCTAGAACTCACTGTGAGTTCACTGGGGTTATGGAGTAATACAACCACAGACCACCAGGGGATTCTCTCAACATGAACTCAACATGAACTACTCTTGTTTTGGTGCCAAATGTCTGACTACGCTAACTTGGTCTGTTGTGTTAAGTCACCATTGTTTAAAACACCAGGCAACACCATGACCAAGTGTCTTAGAGTGAGAAACCAGTTGTTCAAAGTTTCCTACTGCAGTCACTTTTAAGTAGGTAGTAGGAGTAGGATTTGGTTACGACTAAGAACAAATTATTATAAAACAAAAAACAATCTTCCAACAATTATGACAATAATTACATCAATACAAATTTCTAACCAACTTAATAAAATAAAATAAAACCTATATTTAAACCTATATATATGTCCCGCCAGGACATTTTAGTAGCTGTCACTTGTGCAGTCATGTGATCGCACAGAAGATGAACCGGCTTGAGTTGATGAGTCAATTTTGTCATTATTATTAATTACTAGACATTTCAGGCGACACTATGTGAATTCCAGGTGACCCTACAAGGGGTCATGACCCTAAGGTTGAAAAACACTGCTTTAGTGATCGGTACAACTCTTCAGTAGCTTAAAAAGCACTAGAAGACAAACGATGTTCTGATACTTGGTGCAGGTTTCATGCTTTGTTTTAAATGAAATACATTTAAAAAAAAATATATATATATATATATTGGTTGGCCGATATGATTGGACAACGCCAGTTTTTATCATCCCTAAGATAGCCAATCAGATGCAGCATAGGGCGGGTCATAATAAGAAGTTATAGGAGAGTAGAACTCACTATAACTTTAGTTAGCTAGCCACGTGCTACTTCAGGGCAACTGGTTTTTCATTTAATTTTCCAAACGACTAACTCATTGCTCACTCATTTGGACAGTTTTTACACCAACCCTCTTTATCTTCAGACCCATTTATTGTTATAACAAATCAAATCTACAGAATGTTCCTATTGTTCAGTCACGGTGAGTTTGTCGGCCGATCTGTCTCACTCAGATATCGACGAGTGCCAGTTCCTGTCTACCTGTGCCAACGGCATCTGCCTCAACACAGAAGGATCCTACACCTGTGAGAACTGCCCCACAGGCTACGGGGTCTCGCACGACGGGGAGTTCTGCGAAGGTTGGTTCATTTCATCCCCACACATCATCGACAGCACCCTCGCTGCCTTTGTAAACAACATTTTTCTTGGCATTAAACGTCTCATTCCTGCGGCTAGTGTCTAACAATGTCTGTTGTTTCTCTCCAGATATTGATGAGTGTGCGCTGCCCATTACATGTCCTCAGGGAACATGTACAAACACACTGGGCTCCTTCACATGTATCAACTGTCGGCCCGGTTTCACAGTCTCCGAGGACGGCCAGCAGTGCGAGGGTGAGACTTTTGTCTGTTTCTGTGTAGTCGCCTGCCAGATCGTGCTGTGGTGTTAAGCAACGTCGCAGTTCAGTGAAAATGTGCCAGCTCCGTTGAACATGATACCCAGCTGGTTTGGGTTGTGTGTAAACAGCATCAGGTATGACAGCTTGGACCAAAACCGCTCTCCATCTGTGTGGAAAATATCCCA